TATTCCTCCAGCAGTGTTCTTTCCGTTGAGGAGCGTTTTTGCTATTCGGGGTCTTTTATTGTTCCATATAAATTTTTGGATTGCCTCTTCTATTTTCCTTACAGATAATTTTTTAACTATCACAAGCTTAAAGTGCTTTTTGAAATGCTTTAGTAGCATGTTAATGACTCTAGTGTTCTGCTATTTTATCAAGGTTGCCTATAGATAGCCTATACTCCCCAGGTAGTCATCAAAATCTGTTTAGAAGAGTACATTCCAGTAAGACTTTTACAATCATAGTTAACACTCTATCTTTGTGACCCAAGATGGTATATATTTGCCACTTACGTCTTAGAATTACTAAGGAATTGAAGTTTCAATATTACTTAATTTTAATAAATTCAAGTTTAAATAGCCATCTATGGTTGGTGATTATTACATTGGACAGCACAGGTCTGAGTCTGCATAACAAAGGCAGAAGACAGATGATTTGCACACCTCTGATAAGCATCCAAGTCTGTTAGACTTATCAGAACTCATTGTCTGTCTACAGTGAATTACACTGAAGGTAGTCTTATGATGAAGGTAGAAAGTCAGTCTCCTTCTGGCTCTGAAAGCTTTATGCTTCTGATGGGTCATTTTTTAACATTCTCTTGTAAGAAATTAAATCATTTTATTTAATAAAAATGTATGTCATACCCAATTATTTTTAAGATAAAAGTATAGAGGCCCTACCTACAGGTGGGGCAGTGAGCCTCAACTATCACCTCTCTCATTTTCATAAAACCACCTCTACCAGCTTGTCATCCTGTCAAACAGAATGAAATTTTTCTCAGTCTTGTGATCCAAGGATCTCAACTGGAAACATGCTTGTTTTATCAATGTTACAAAACAGAAGGACTGGGGTGGGAAGGTGGCTCAGTGGTAGAGCGCATGCCTTGCATGCCAGAGGCCCTGGGTTCGATTCCTCAGCACCACATAAGCAAAAAGAAAAAAGCCAGAAGTGGTGCTGTGGCTCAAGTGGTAGGGTGCTAGCCTTGAGCTGAAGAGCTGAGGAACAGCACCCAGGCCCAGATTCAGGCCCCATGACCGGACCAAAAAAAAAAAAAAAAACAGAAGGACTAGAGTTGACAGTTTCCCATCAAAATTCCCACCAAATTTTCTCCCTGGGATTTTTTAAGGTCTAACCCATCCTTTTCTACAGTGTTAACTAGACTCTCACTTGCCTAGACCATTGAAAGTAGCCACAAATTTGTCTACTGATAAATCACCCTTACTACTTGCTTTTGTAAGAATAGAAGGTACTCTGTTTGATGGGCTGATATCACTAATTGCTTACAGCACACTTTTGCCCCCAACAACCCAATTTTCAGAGCTGTTCATAGGGAAATTCATTTCTGGTTGTACCTCTTTTCTGAGTTTGTCCCTATTGTCCTTCCTTCCTAGATGCCTTTTAAAAAAAGAAAAGAAAAAATCTCCACATGCTTCAATATTAAATCCCATTTCATCCATATACTCAAGTCTAGGCAAGTTTCTAAAACCTGAGTTTTGATCAGCCATTCATTTTTGACATTGCATTAAAATCTTTCACTTTTCTTTCTCTTTTAGTATGTCTAAGAAAAAAAAGGAAAATTCCTCTTCATTAGTAATAGATCTCAAAAGCAATTGTTCTCACTCAGAGGAAAATAGACGAGAAGTGCATTAAGATTTCTGCATGTGGATATCCAGTTTTGCCAGCACCATTTGTTAAAGGGACTGACATTCTTCCAGTTTATGTTTATGGCCTCCTTATCAAATACTAGGTTGCTGTAGGTCTGTGGGTTCATTTCTGAATATTCTATTCTATTGGTCCTTAGACCTATTCTTGTGCAAGTATCAAGCTGTTTTCATTAATATGACTTTGTAATAGAGTTTGAAGTTTGGTGTTGTTAGTCCTATAACACTGTTCTGCCTGCTAAGGTTTGCTTTTGCTATTCAGGATTTTTGTTCCTCCATATGAATTTTGGGATTGTTTTCTCTACTTCATTGAAGAATGTTGTGATTTTTGATGGGTATTGCATTGAATTTGTAAATTGCTTTGGGAAGTATTGCCATTTTTACAATGTTAATTCTTTTAGGAACATAGGTCTTTCCATTTCCTTAAATCTTCTTCAATTTCAAGTTTTCAATATGAGGTCTTTCAGAGTTCATTGTATATGCTACAAAATTAAGACAAGTAAGGGAAGTGGTACAGCAGAGAGGGGTAAGAATTTTGAAGGAGGTGATACTGATCAAGATGCATTGTATTCATAAACTGCTTTGTTAAATGGAACCTCCTATGTACAACTACTTAAAGATAATGTATTTTAAAGAGGTGTATCAGAGTGGGCTAGGAATGTACCTTAGTGGTAGTTTGCCAGTCATTTGTGAGCCCAAGGGTCTAATCCCTAGCATTACTTTAAAAAAATCAGAGAGCATCCACTAAAAGAAAGTGGGAAGAATAGTAGTTTAATTATAGGTAATTAAGCTGGGAAAATACTCTACAGGTGATTCTGACATTCCTTTCCTGAGAACTAGTTTCCTGCTAAGAATTTTTATACTATATCATAACCTTTTTCCATATTGAACTATTTCTTTATGGATTATAAACACAAAAGGATATGGTCACTATCTGCTCTTGCTTACAGTAGACACCTACACAGTTGGATCTAAAGGAATCTTCAGTGAACACCAGGGATGGTCATTACAAGCTGGCTGCAGACTTGTGCTTGAAGCTTGTTTCCTACCTAGGAAAGAGCAGACCTGTGATTCATCTCTTGAGTTTTTATTTGTTGACTTCAAAAGTCACAGAAATGGCCGGGCGCTGGTGGCTCACGCCTGTAATCCTAGCTACTCAGGAGGCTGAAATCTGAGGATCACGGTTCAAAGCCAACCCCGGGCAGGAGAGACCGTGAGACTCTTATCTCCAAGAAAACCACCAGGAAACCAGAAGTGGCACTGCAGCTCAAGTGGTAGAGCGCTCGCCTTGAGCTGAAGAGCTGAGGGACAGCGCCCAGGCCCAGAGTTCAAGCCCCATGACCGACAAAAAAAAAAAAGTCACAGAAATGATTTGCTACATCTTTAGATTTTGATAGTTATTATCTTCCTTAGCTATAAAGCTACAATATGAATAGATAACTCATATATACAGTGCCTGGGATTTATAAATACTTAATTACTGAGTCTAGGGTATAAGCAAATGTTCAACAGAAGACTGTCTTCAGAGAGAAAATTATTATGAGCCAGGATGTTTAAAAGAAGGTGCAATGAATGGTGTAAAGGGATAAAATAAGCAGTACAAATGACCAAAAACTCAGCTGGATACCAGTGGCTCATCCCTATAATTCTACCAGCTCAGGAGGCTGAGATATAAGGATCATGGCTCAAAGCTAGTTCGGGCAGAAAAGTCCATGAGATTCTTATCTCCAGTTAACCATCTTAAATGCAGGACATGGAACTGTGGCTCAAATCATAGAATGCTAGCCTTAAGCACAAAAGTTCAGGGACAGCCCCCAGGCACTGAGTTCAAACCCTAGAACCCATATTAAGGGTTCACCAAAGCCAATGTATGGAATCAGTCCAGATGCCACCCAGTGAATGAATGGATCTGAAAATATGGTGTATGCACACAATGGAATTTTACTCATTCATTAGAAGGAATGCTGTTGTGCCATTTGTAAAGAAATGGAAAGATTGGGGGAGGTATTTTGCTAGCTGAAGTAAGTCAGGCCCAGAGAGATAAAGGATCCATGTTTTCCCTTTTATGTAGAAGCCAAAGTTAGCCTACACACTGATAAGTAAATAGGTCGATGGTTTACAAGTGTATACAAATGTGTGAACTGAAAGGGAGATCTCAGTTTAATTCCTTAGAAAGGCAAAACTCAAAGTTGAACAAAATAAAACACCAGAAAGTGGGTACTGAAAAGGGGTGGAGTGGGGTCAAGGGAAAAGAGGAAGATGAATGAAGAGGAGAAGAGGGGGAAATGCAGATAAGAATACAGTGTACATCCTCCAAAATTAAGAAGAGTGAGAGGAGGAGTGGGTAGGGGAGGGATGGGTCAGAATGTTGAAAAAGGTGGCACTGATTAAGATATATTGTGTTTATTAACTGCTTTGTTAAATGGCAACTCTTTTGTACAGGCGGTAGAAGAATGAATGGGGGGAAGGAGTAGAATGCAGGGAAGAATTTATTGTATATACACCACAAAACTGAGAAAAATAAGGGAAGGGGTGGGTCAAAGTGGGGTGAAAATGTTGAAGGGCTGACACACATCAAGATGCATTGTATACATAAATGGCTTTGTTAAGTGGCAAAAAAATTCCATACATAGCCTAAAAATGAAGAAAAGTAAGAGAAACAGTGGGGTGGAAAGGGATGGGTGAGAAGGTTGGAAGAGAGGATATATCAATCAAGACACACTGCAGTCATAAACTCTTCCGTTCAATGGCAATTTCTTTATACAACTACTTAAAGAAAATAAAAATAGCCAAAAAAGAAAATAAAAAATAAAACACATTAAAATAAAAAAGATCAATACAAAATAGTTTTGTAAATAATTAAACTATCTTCAGCTAAGTTGGTCAGTCTTCATAGTTTCTCTTTAGAAACTACGAGTTTTCCTCAAGTCAGTGTCATGAGTCTGATGCTGGTTTTTCTTTCTTTTCCTTAGATTTTTGCCTTCATGACGACAGCTTGTTATGGTTGCAGTTTGGGTCTGGCTTTACGAAGATGGCGGCCATAACACTCCTTGGAAACTAACAGCTATTTGTCAGTTTCCCTTGTCAACTTTATATGTCTTATCCATTTGTTTAGTGTTTTGTCCAGATGGAACCACATTCCATAAGCAATTAACCTGGTAGTGACAAAGAGAGAAGTGAAGTTTTGGGGTTATTTTATGGATGGGATTCTAACTTTATTATATTAGAGATGTAGTCTTTTATTTTACATCTATCTCTTCTCTTTATTTCTAAAAAGAAGTTCCCCTCTATGTTCATAAAATACAAGATATTTTTCATGAAAAAAATAATATCCCTTTTGTTTGGTTACTAAGTATTAGTAAGGATCTTAATAAGTATCTTAACACATTTCAAATGGACTTCCCACTGAATTTCCAATATTAACAGGATACAGGTGCACTTTTTCTACAAAGGGGACAGATGGTACTTATTTAAGCTTAACAGGCCATCTAGTTTCTGTCACAGCCATTCACTTCTGCTGTTGCATCATGGAAGCAGCTATATAGACAATATGTAAACTAGTAAGTGTTAATGTGTTCTAATAAAGCTTTATTTACAAAGATAGGAGGCAGACAGAATTTAGCCTATAGTCTACAGTGTGTCAACTTCTGGTATAAAACTTTAAATGTCCTGTTTTTATGGAACTGATTATTAAAGTATACAAACCTCATTAGGCAAGCCACATCATATGTAGTATCATTCTGCAATAACACTTTTTTGTTAATTATCAAATAATTAGCCTTAGAAGGGCATATACATACTTTCTCAAGCTAATTCCAGCATGTCTTGGGTATAGGAAAAGGCAATTTATGAAGTGAGCCCTAGTTGTTTAATTAAACTAATGGTATCTTAACAGCTGTGCAAGACTCTCCTTGGAGAGTTCTTAAAACAGGATCCTCCAAGATCATTAATCACTACTGGAACTGGAATCTAGCTATTTATGTCTTATTTTGGTTTATTTATGCTTCAGAACACAGTTGTTTGCCCTGTGCATGAATAGATGAATATTTATGTATATGAAGCTTTTCCAAATAGAGCTGTCTAAAGAGGTAACTTCTAATTAACTTTCTGAGTTAAATTTGAGTACATTATTAAATATAACATAAAGCTATAGATTCTTCTATGTTTTGATAATAGTCAAAAAGTCTATGGAATGTTTTTGTTGTTGCCATTGTTGCAATTTGATGACAGATAGACAAAATCAGTTTAAAAGAAGAGCTAACACAAAAACTTGTGTCTTGCCAAATAGTAGAACAATTTTAACCCTTTGTAGAACCCCTGGTAATGGAAACATACCAGATAACTTGAATGGAAGAACAAGTTGGGGTTAGGCTGCAGTTCCCACACCAAACTGTCCACACAAGGTATTTCCTATTTCCCTAACAGGGCTATTTGTGGAAAAAGAGGGTTTTATATGGCTTTGATTTCAGGGTGAATCATCACCTAAGAAGGCCATATACAATTGAACTATTAGACTTCATGGAACATACAAAAACTATGAATGAGTATAATGCTCAATATCGAAGAATCAAATACTGATTGTCTAATACTTCCCTATGAAGAAGAAATTTTTAGAGCCTGGTTTGTGGTAACATTAAAGACAAGAGACATGTATAAACATGTGGCTTAAAGAAATCAGTCTTGCGACTTTATACCCACTTGTTTCTTTTCTTTCTCTTCTATCATATCTGACTCCCGTGGTGTTTTTCTAGCTCCATACCACACACCTAACCCTGTATTATGAATTATATATTATAAAGTTATAAATGTGCCATAAAGAGATATTGTGCATTCTACTTGGAATCATGTAAAGGTATTCTACTAGAATTTACTGGTGAGTTTTTATTTTGGCTTTTTTCCCCAAGGAGCAAACAAGCCATGCTTGGTGGCATTAACTGATTTCATTAAAATATATTGGTAACATTTTTTGTAAATGGGTTGCTTCTATGTCATTGAGAACCAAACCTAAAGCTCACCTAACTGTGAATACTTAGATTTATAGATTAATTGCATTCTAGATTTGTGAATTGAGTGACAAAGCACTTGAACAAGAATTATGACATTTAAGAATTTCTTGACATTCTTAGCTGTAAAAATGAGAAAGTGTTGGTTGGTCTTCAAAATCTGGTAACTCCATGATGAAAAGAAATTTATTTTATAAGTGTTATGACTCTAATAAAGTATTCATTTGATAATCTTTTTGTCATTAATTTTTTACACTGTTCACTTTGAAATTCATTTAAAGGTTGATATAAACTTGATAGAACTTCTAGGCTCATATAAAAGAACTGTTTAAAATAGTTCTTTGTAAAAGAACTCTCAAAAATGTCAGTAAATCTTTTTCGCTTTGGTGAATATAAAGAAGTTGTTTGGGGAGTAACATTATAAAAGAAATTTAAATGAGAAATATATCATATTTCATTTTCAAGACATGTATATATAATTTTATACGTGCTAGGTTATGTTCTAAGTATTTTTAAGTATTTATTCTTTATCAGAACAGCTGAAGGAATAGATATTATTATTTTGCTTTAACTCTTACACCTTTAAAGACACCCAGGCCACTAACTACTAAGTGAGGAAGTGGCCTCTAAAATTCAGGCTCATAATTTCTGTGGGAGCCATTCAAACTTGAACTGTCTTATCCCTAGTGACTTGTTAGCAGAATGTTTAACAGCATAGTTATTTATGGTAGATGTCTTCTCTTAGAATATTGTTTTGTCATAACCAGGGATAGTTATAGGAATTTAGGCCAAACCTGCATGAAGAGGATTAGAGAACAAATGTCCCCAGAGTGTTTGGCTGTCTCTTTCTCCAGTCTGTTAGTTCTGGCGTGGACTCTGGGGCTTTATTCTGCCTCATTGTCTTACATTGAGACAGTCTTTGTCAGATTATCAAGGCTTCCTGGTCATCCTTTCTGCTGTCAGAAGGGCTCTTTGGTCTGAGATTCCTCGGGATTTTACACATGGTCTATGAATTTCCATCTTTGCATCTTGCAGAATCTAAATTCTAAGTCATTGTCACAAAAGTTCTATACTTCAAGTGAGCGAGTGGTTCTGAGGGCACCGTAAAATATTCATGGCAGAGGGGACGAGCTCTAGGATAGGCTTATTTTAAAATATTTACAATGTACCACTTTGTACAAAGAGCACATTCATAAAGGGATGTCCTAATTCTGATCTCTAGTGGACTCTTCTCAATTCCCTCCCACCTTCCTTGAGTCGATTTTTTTAACTGACTCCTTTGGATTGAGGCCCCACCTGAGAATCAAGTTAAAAATTGAATCTCACACTAGCACTATCTGTCCTCCTGAATTTTCCTCCCAGGTATTATGACATTACTATATATACAATGAAGATATTTTAATTTGTTCATATACAATTTATATATTTAGTTTGTTCCCTTCTGCACTAGAATGTGAAGTCTGTACAGAGGAATCACCTGTTTGGTGAACTGCCATACCCCTAATACTAAAACCCAGCGCTGAAAACAGCAGGCACTCCATGTTTATTGAGTGAGTGTGTGGGTGAATGTTAATGGCAATACTTTCCTATTGAGTTCTAATCAATGTATCCTGTCAAAATTTATCTTGTTAGCATCTGAAAATTTCCAGAGTGAAATAGCTAGCTATTTTTAACCTAGGCCAGGATGTCTTTAGCTTTACAGAGTCTCTGGTAATTAAATGTATGTGTTGTAAAAATATGATAGATCAATTCTCTATATTGTAGGAACTGAACAGATAAAAAATTAGGCATCTCATCTGAATTCAGGTCATCATTTCCATCCTTTCTGTAAGTAAAGATGTCACTGTAGATCATTATTATCCAAATGACAACTACAGCTGTTACTTCCCTGTAACTCGACAGGACTATGGATAATAGTTTCAAGACATAAATAGTGGTGGGCATGGTTCTAAAATATATATGCAGTGCTGTGCCTTAATTTTTTATGTCTACCAACTCTGGGCTTCACCATGGTTGATGGGGCCTTTCCTGTTTCCCTCACTTTTTCTACAGCCATATATGACTTCTTCCTGGTGAGGACCCAAAGCCCTATAGAAGAAATCCCGGGCTCAATGGATATATGGAATTATTTAGCAGCCCTCAATCCCATAGTGTTGCCTGTATGCTGCTGCCTCGGCCATGCTTCGGCATGCCATTCCAACAGCCAGGCTGCTGCTTGTGGTGGTGTACCATCTGATATCATCCATCTCCAGCCAAGGGGACAGCTCTATGGCTGAATGCTGAGTTGAGCGTGCTATCAGGCTTGCAAATCAAGAATTCCTAAATCCACTGTGCATGAACCTGTGTGCATATTCTTGTTCTATGTTTTCTGGGGTTTTTTTTGTTGGTTTTGGGGCCTGAACTCTGGGTCTGGGCGCTGTCCCTCAGCTCTTCAGCTCAAAGCTAGCCCTCTACCCCTTGAGCCACAGTGCCACTTCCGGCTTTTTCTGCTTATGTGGTGCTGAGGAATTGAACCCAGGGCCTCATGCATGCAAGGCAAGCACTCTACCACTGAGCCAACTTCCCAGCCCCTGTGTGCATATTCTTCCTCAAGGTATTTTCCTTCTACCAACAGTACATGAGATGAACTCAGAAACAAAATAAACAACCCATAAAGATAAACACTTTTGGCTTTGGACTTAGCCATGGATTCTTATGTGCTGTGCTAAAAGTACAACAAAAGAAGAAATAAGCAAGTTGGACTTTAAAAACTACTAGGCATCAAAGAATGCTATAAAGCAAGTGGGAAAAAATAAAACAAGATACAGAATGGGAAAAAAATCACAAATTTCATAAAGGTTTACTATGTAGAGTATATAAAGAAATGTTGCAGCTCAAAAAATAACTCGATTTAAAAATGGACAAAGGACTTCTAGACATATTTCTACAAAGAAGACATATAGATTCCTCACAAATGCAGGAATAAAATGTTCAACATCACTAGCCATCAGGGAAACATGAATCAAAACCACAATGATCAGCTGGACACCAGTGGTTCACACCTGTAATCCTACCTACTCAGGAGACTGAGATCTGAGGATTGTGGTTCAAAGCTAGCCAGGGAAGGAAAAGAAAGTCCATGAGACTCTTATCTTTAATTAAGAATTCCAGAAAACCGGAAGTGGTGCTGTGGCTCAAGTGGTAGAGCGCTCGCCTTGGGCTGTAGAGCTGAAGGACAGCACCCAGGCCCAGAGTTCAGGCCCCATGACCAACAAAATATAGAAAAATAAAAAACACAATGATCTCCCACTTTATTCCTATGGCATAGATGGCTATCTTTCTTTAAGGAGAACAAGTTGGACGTTTTACACATTGCTGGTGAGAATATAAAATGATGTAGCTACAATAGAAAATAGTTTGACAGTTCTTTGAAACATTTTTGCAGGGTAAAGGGAATTATGGATTCCTGATTCAAAGGATCATTCAAGTGGCCCCATCCTGTGATTCAGGCCTTCATTCTCTCCACCAGGATACAGAGTTTAGTATATATATGCTTTGGCTGAACATGCTATCTTAGAAGTTCAGTAAACCTGTCAAATCTTGAGTGTGTTCTTTCATCTGTGTTTCCCTTTAATTGCAAAAGATAAAGTCCTCCTTACAATTGAACATATAAACTGGTACATTTAGTTTTCTTTGTTAGCAACCCTGAGTTTCTCATTATCCTTCTGGAGGGTATGGGTGAAACTAGCCTCCAGTGTTTGCTGTTGGGTTGATAGTGTGTTCTTTGTTCAGTACTATTTTTTTTACCATACCTTTTTTTCATTTTTTATTGTTATTGGAAAGGTGATATACAAAGGGGTTGCAGTTACATAAGTCATGTAATGAGTACATTTCTTTCTAAGGCCTGTGTCATCACGCCTGCCAGGGCAGTCCCCCTCAATGTTGGTGTTCCCATGTTAGAATGGTTATATCTACCTGGTCAGATATGTATGCTTTTAAAAAGAAAGATCTATCTCAATGAGTAGAGGAATGTGGAAGAATGTAGTCATAGTATTCAATATATATGTGGAAATAGAAGTAGGAAAATTGGGGTGGTATAGAGGGGTTGGGAGAGAATGATGATAGGGTGGCATTGATCAAGATGCATTGCATTCACACACTGGTTGAATTGAGAAGCAAATCTGCAGTTCAAATAAAAGATCTGAGTTTAAATATTTACTGTTTATCAACTCTAAATATTTATTCACTGGATAAACCTGGGGAAAAACACAAAGAAATCATGATTTTCTTCTCTATAAGACTGGAAAATACAATGCCTGCCCAAATTGAAGAGCTGTGAGCACCGAATGGGACAATTGATGTGAAGTTGCTGTAGGAAGTATGAACAACCATGTGAACTAAAGCTCCTCTGACTGTCTGTGGCTCCCAGTTCAGCTAGCATATAATTGTCACAAATGCTTGTAGAATATACTGTACTTAGTATATCACATATTTAAGCTAATATAAGCTTACCATATTTAAGCTAATATTTAAGCTAATGTAAGCTTACATTGAGAAAGTTGATATAGATTGGTAGAGCTTCTTTAGAAAAGTGTTAGGTTAGTGGTTGACTTGAAAATTTTGAATTGGTTTTTTCTTGAGGTAATATCTAAAGAGTCACCTCAAGTTCTACATGCTTCCTAGCAAAATTCAAGAAGTTTTTTCAACTATTTTAAATGTTTTGAGCACCTGTTTTAGGCCAGAGGTGGGAATGTGATAGTGAATTAAACCTAGCCACTGTTCTTAAAGAGAAGGACCTACAAGAAAACATATGATTAACAGAGATCAGTTGATTTTTAGAACTAAGCATAGAATGTTATGAAGGTTTATCAATCTGGTACTGAAGTGAGTAATAGCAGAATGTTTCTGGTGTTGCTAGAATGTAAGGTAAACAATAGATATGAGATATCTATTCATTAGAGTCCTTCAAGAAAGAAGAATGGTGTTCCAAGCAGAAGGATCCAGTGGCAAAAGCTCAAAAAGAAGAAGTGTATTCAGGAAGAGATCTATTCAGGAAGCAAAGTGGCTTTGTGCAGCTGTCACACAAAAAATAAGAAAGTGATGGAGGGCTCATGCTTCAGGTACTTGCAGGGACTCATTACAAAGACACTTCTCACTGTTCTAAGGAACAGGGCTTTGTCCTAAGAGGTTCCAGGCTGCTCCAAAACTAGATTGCATCTGTCCAGCCATCTTCTCATAATTGCTCTCTGTTT